CTGCATGACATAGACATCGTGGAGAGCTTTTTCCAGTGGTTTCTCATATATATATTTAGAGCATAAAGTTACATTTAGCAAATGTTATCTGTTCTTTCTTAAACGTATTTACCCAAGAAAGGTTTCTGTGATACATATATTCTTATCAGCGGCAAAATCCCTTAATCTTATACTTTTGGCTGCTGAGCAAGTCTCCTGGAGTAGCTGGGAGTTTATTTAGTTCCTTGCTTCAGGGATCATTCAAATGTGCCATTTCTCACTAACAGTCCAAACCCAAACTGTAATAAATTCACAATATGCTCTTTGGCCAAAAGTTTTTGGACGGCCAAGCTTTATACCCATATGTGTTTGCTGGACATCTCAATCCAAAACCATGGGCATCAATATGCTGCCATGAGATATTGGAACCTGGCTGCAGGGATTTTCTCCCATTCAACCTCAACAGCATCAGTGAGGCGTGCTCTGAGGCCTGACTCACAGCTGGTGTTCCAGTTCAGTCCAAAGATGTTGGGATGGGGTTGAAGTCAGGGCTCTTTGAAGGCCAGTCAAGTTATTCTACACTAACCTGAGAAAAACATTTCTTTACTGACCTGGCATTGTGTTGAAACAGTAAAGGTTCTTCCTCAAACTAATACTACAAAGTTGGAAAAACACAATTGTAGCAAATATCACTATATGCTCCATCTTCTGCCTCCATCTTATGAAAAACATCCTCAGAACGAAAGGTACAAAAACTGGCCATAGAGTGTATGAAAAAGAGAAAAAGGTATCAAATCCTCCCATTTTAGAAACATGAACTACATAATATTTGGCACTTTTGTTTGAAAAATAACTTTAAATGTTAACTGAAAAAAGATTTATATAATTGACTAGCATTACATCGGTAACTATTGGTCACAAGCCTTCTAATGCGACATTTAGCCTACGATATTTACCGAACTGCTCCAAGCATCCATATAGATTATCTATGATCTATGAGTCTTGCTGACTCCATGAACTGTTTGTCAAATGATCCACATGAAGATGGCCACCTACTTCTGCCTCATTCAGCATCACCGGCCCACCCTGAAACGTATTACACATCCTCTGTCTCTATAATCAAACCTTTAAGACCTGAGAGGAAATGTTATCAGGCTTCATAAAAACATTAGAGGAATTATGAGAAGCTTCTTCTTAAACATTATTAAATTATGTCAAACTGTCGCTGTTACGGGCTCAAATATAAACGGCTAATGAGTTTACAGTGGATTACAGTGTCAGTGGTGGATCAAGATGTCCAGACTCAAAGGTTAAATGAACACTCCTCACTCAGTGTCTGATTGTGATCTTAAAGCAAGTAAAAATGAAGCCATGTGGAGAGAATAATGAGGAGCTATTATTACAGCAGGCACCAAATTACTTTGATTACTGTATTCACTAAACAGTTGACTGATAACTCTGAAAAATCAAGTAGAAAAGCCTTGAGTTAATAAAAGGCAAATTAAGTGGTAGAAAACATGGTTCATCCGGATGTCTGAGAGTAAATACAAAGTCTGCTTATATCCAGGTCAAATAGATTCTATTATGGCTGCGTTAATACCAGCTCGATGTTGGTTTGCAGTACAACCAACACAGGAAATATCATTAAACTACTTAAAGTCGTGTCAATATCCAGAGCACCACTCATCCTGATTAGGACTCAAATGTTCCGTTTTAAGATCAATCATTGATTTAGTTTTTAACCTGTGCCTGGTGACACTGATGCTAAAAGTTTTCACATTTTAACACGGTTGGACAAAAAAAAAATGGTGGCTCCAACTTTAACTTGTTTTAACTTGAGTTGTCTTTTTGCTTAATTTTTTTAAATGCATAATCTGGTCCAGATTAATGCCCTTTAAGTTTTTTCGTTGGCTTGTATTATTGTTGTTTTTGATTTATTGTCTTATGTGAAGAAATGTATCACTTTCTTTTTGAAAAGTGCTCCAAAAAATATATTATGATTGCTATATATATGTATTATGATTGGACAATATGACCTCAAATCTTTATCACAATACATTTTTACATTTACCGCGATAATCCATTACATTATTAGGGCTGATTAAGCATATTATTTTCTCAATTAATTGATAAATCATTTTGTAAAATGTCAGAAACTGTAATGTAAAATGGCCATTTAGAAACCAGAAACCAAGGTGATGTTTTCAAACTACTTGTTTAGTCCAATAATGTTCAATTAACTATAATTTAGAGAAGCAGCACATATTCATATTTTAGAAGCTATAGACAAAGAAATATTTAAACCTTTTGCTTGAAAACTTATTGCAATGATTTATCGCTCATCAAAACAGTTGAACATTTACTTTCTTTTACTTTATACAGTAAAACTTGTTGCAGATTCTGGACTTTTGGGGGCATTTGCTGCAACAGCTTAAGCTCCAGTTTATCTTTGGAGGCCAGTCTATGTTTCAGGTAGCTGTTTTCCTGTTGTTACATATTTATCCATTACTAGCCTACAGCACTTTTTTTCATCATGGTGGTCGGTGTTGCTAGGAGATCTGTGACACGACTACAGACAATCTACCCTGTATAAATACACTTCACATGGATAATGTGCGTACGGGCAGGGAATGAACGTTACCCCTGCGAACATGTTCCTGCTGTTTATTTTCTGCCCCGCTCAGCTCTTCCTCTGCCTGTGGATCTATTGACAAACACTCCTGATTATGTAACCGTGCGCTGTGGAATGCTCACTTGGTGAACCAAACACACATTGTGAACCGTCGCCTCTGACAGCACCAGACTGAATGCACATTTGGACGCATTTAGGCCACCTCGAAATTAAAAAATCACAGCGACGGAGTGTGAAATTTGTACAGAACAGTTCAGTTTTTAGTAAAAAAACAGAGAAGCGTGCACACTCTACTATGCACATCCAACCTAAGAAATATGAATGGAGTTTAGGCAGAACGTTTGTCTATAAATAGGGTGTTGTGAAGGGCTGTTTGGACTCGTGGGAACAGACAGGGCCATTGTGCGGCTTGGCCTATCTGTATCTGGCTTCTAGCCATTAGGCAAAGTACTGAGCTGCCCCTCAAACACACACACACACACTTCCACACAAACACACACAGAGGCCTAGATGCTAGCGTATGAAGACTGCTGTAATCTCATACACCTACACAGTATCAAATCCATACGCGCTCATCCAGATGCTGAGACTGTTATGCTCTAAGTACACCTACACAGAACATAAAAAAAAAATCCATATTTTTTAGAAACACCCAGACTAATATGCACTAGACGCTACCACCGGCCAAGACTCGGATGATAACAATTCAGATGAAATAGACACAGAAATGTTACTCATGTGGTCAGTATTTATTCAGACTAGACTGATTGCAGATGCCTACGCAGTGAGCAACATTGCTCCACGTTGTCATCAGCTAATGTGCTCTTCTTCACTGTATAGACAGTAAAAATACATCTGAGCTCATGTTACACTGTTACACAGTATAGACCACAGAAATAGCAGGAGGCATATCAAAATACCTGATCCATGTCTTCCAATTACCCAGGCAATGTTTAAACACAAGTAATTTAATATCCTCATGTGCTTTAAATAAGGCACTGAATTCTAAGAATGATTTAAAGGAGTGGTACAAGAATTATTTTTCACCAATTTCTGGACTATTTATGAAGAATAAATGATAAAACTGATGGTGGATATTCAAATTGTTTTCTTTACAAGCTATTAACAAAAGTACAAGGGTACAATCCTCCTAACACAGTCGTAGATGCAGGTCTGAGTTTGGTTTCCATCCAAACAATTCATTTTTAGTAGCCCGTGAGCACAGATTTCACTGTTTGTTTTGTATTTTCACATTTTAACACACTGAGCTGAATCTACTGTCAACAGAGAAGAATCAATGTTTCTGTTGGTGCCAACAGGGAGAGGTGCAACATTAGACAACATTAGTTACAGTAGCTGCACTTAGATGAGCAATACAAGATGCAACTGGAGCGTGTAAAAAGGATAGGAGGGCTTTTCCTTATATATAACTCATCAGTGCATTTTGATATATTTAGATTAGGATTTTTTTATTACAAATTATATTGAATTTTTAATAAAATGTAAGAAAACAGCAAATAGTTGACTTGTTTTGTCCGATCAACAGCTCAAAACTCAAAGATATTCCATTTACTATCATATATGACAAAGAAAAGCATCATAAAGTCACATCTGAAAAGCCTGAACAGTGAATATTTCACACACTACTAGTATAGTAGTAGTAGTAACACTAATATAAAACTAGTACTATATTGTCTGACTGGTCTGTCTGATTTGATGTTCAGTTCAATATTTTCAAAGATGAGATTCCTAGCTTATTATAACATTAAAGTTCAAAGGTCCTGCTGCAGGAAACCATGTAACTATGGAGTTATGAAAGACTGAACAAAATACACATTTAAAGCTGCATTTATACATTTTTGGCCATTTGGGGGCAATGCAACAAGCTGGAAACACGACGATATTTAATTAAGATAGCAAATGTGATAGCGATCAGTTGACTATTTATACATGCAGCAATAGCAATGTTTTCAGTCAGAATTTGTCTTCAGTCTCTTGTAAAATAATATAGTAAAACCAGTATCGTCCATTATATCGAAATCGTAAATTGAGTGTATCGTATCACTATCCAGCAAGCTAAAAGACGTTCGAGCACCTTGCCATTTGATGCAATTTTATTGTAATATTAATTAACACAGCTTCAAAATTTACTTCATCTCCTCATTTCTTTCCCATCACAGAAGTTCATGCTCGTTCCAGTGGCAAACTAATTAAAGTGCCTATCAGCCCGCCAACACTTTTCAGAACCTCTGCTATAAATGAACAGCCATACTCAAAGTGAGCAGTAAACAAAACTCTGGAGAGGCAATTACACCCACGGACATCGACATCAGCTCCATAACACCGGCAGCACTGAAAAACACCATCATACATACCGCAGTCTACTTACTACAACAATACTTCACATTTAATCAGTGGCTTTGGCGTCGCAGCTACACTGAGATGCAGCACTCGAGTCACAACACTGACAAGCCAGTGTTAACCCAACAGCTGGCGCGCACTTAGAGAGGAGATCATTTCAGCGTCGTCAACACCTCAACATAAGGACAAACACTATTTCCGAGCGGTTGAGATGACAACAGAATTTGATTCCATGATATTCTGGGACCTGAATCCGCCTCTGAGGCAATGCTTGGTGTCCAATTATAGCTGTTGACTGGCCTACCTTGCAGCATATCCATATCTACCTTCCAACAGTGTCTTTCTGTTTCTTAGCAGCTACTGGACCTTAGTGCCATGCAACCTAAGTTGATACAACATGTAGGGTGCTTGGTTAAATTATCATGTAGCTCATTTAAAGTCCTTTTTCCACCATTTAATATTTTTATATAACTGTTTTATTGTCAAAACGAGAATTGTCTCCTAATAAATGACCCATCTCCAACACAGAAGGTCTGAACGGTGACCTGAACTTTAATGCCTCACCACTGTACAACTGTGACCACTCTAACAGGTCAAGCATATCGTCTTTCCCCGCAGTCAACACTGATGGATTAGCAAACACTGCGGGAGTAAATGTTAATATTGGTAGAGTCAACAGGCAAGGTGACAGTCTGAATACGCTCGAGTAAGTCCTCCCCCCCCACCTCCACCCACACACAATAGCAGAGGAAGTGCAATTGTACTTTGGCAAATGGAGCAAATATGCAGCTGCGTGTTCACCTCGCTGTATAAGTTCTCTTATTTTCCTCCACTCTTTACTTTCATTTCCCCTTCACACATTGTACGTTTCGGATATTATTTTCCAGCCGAGGTTCTTTATGTTTACTTCTCGTTTTACTCCTGTGATACAACTACTGAAATCATTATGATGAGGATGATAAACTTTATTGTTTAGCGCTGTTTAGTGGCACAAAGTGCTTTACAAAACAACAAAGCCGATCATCATGCCGATCGTCAGTCATAAGTCTGCTAACCTTACCCACCATAGGCTAATGGTCAATTAATGCTGCAGCAGGAAAATCTCAAGTTTTATTCCCTACGAAGCCAACTTTACATTTTTAGGAGGAGCACTGTGTTATTTCTTCTTTCAAACATCACATAGTTAAGCTGTAATACTTCTTCTATTCAGCGAGAGTTTATAATTTCAGCATAAACATGAAAAAATGTTAGGAATTGTGCCTTGTATGGAACCTTGTGGACCTTTACGTTGACTCTGACAGGAGTGTAAAAGGTCAACCTGTCACTGACAATCCAAATGAACACAGATAATGCCCGATGATGGTACAACTACTCTGTAATGAGGTCACATTGGTCAATAGCCACCATAGCAACAAGTTCAGTAGTGCAGAGGCAATGAAACATGGCCGCTTGAATTAACAGACATGGTCACCATCTATAGTTTTTACAATAAGGAACTTTCTTTTGTCAAAAGTCAAATAATCACATACGAAAGCTAATGAGTCACCATTTATGGATGTTTGTGTTTTGTCAGTGCGTTTAAGAAATGTCTGCAGGCTCCATCGGAGGACTCTGAAGCGAAGTTGCTCCCATCCGCCTCAGTTTAATGATGTCAACAAGTTGATCTCCTTGGATTATTAGTCTGGCCAGAACACAAAAACTCATGGGTGTAGCGTCAGACCGAAGGGCAACTGTTCCAGCTGCAGAGTTTATTTTTGGCCCTGACAGACTACAGTATGACACGACTACAGAAAAACAAACAAAACCCCACAAATCACCGCCGTGACACCTCAACTGCCAGAGTCCTCGCTATGACCTGGGTGTGCATGTCAGATACATTTGTTGTGGGTTGCTCTTTTGATTCATCTATTGCTTAGCTGTGCAATTCATTTGATTAATAGGTCTATAAAATACCTATTAATGAAGACAAATCTGTGTTTGAACCAGCTGATCAGTACAAAACCTCAAAGGAAATAAATAATTGAATCATTTTGTCATTCCCCTGATAAATGAACTGACTAATGGTTTCAGAAAAACCATGTATTGTTATTTATTGATTGAGTTGTTCGTATATTTTCTCCACGTTGGGAACATCACTGGGTCCATATGACGGCTTCAGTGGTGAGTCACTCTTACACAAGATCGGTTCTGCAGCTCAACATCTGTGGAACTGAAATAAAAAAATGCACAGCAGAACAAAGTGTTCTCGTGACCTCTATAAATACCCTGAGATCTCTAATGCTGGAACAGGTCGGAGGCAAAGCCTTTGAAGTCTACAAACACGTCTTCCCAGCAACATGATGAGCCCACTAACACCGAGAAAACAGAGACACTGATGTCAAAATATCTATTTAAAGTTATTATATCGTACAATCAGAGTTGCACTTATGAGCACACCCTGATACACAACACTGTGGGCTTACTTGAGGTTTAAAGGTTTAGATTCACTGGTGGTTTATGGTAGGCATCAGCTGGAATGAATTCATAAAAACATATCTTCTCACTTGTGGATCGTGGTATCTAGCCGTGCAGATAGCTCTGGGTTTATCTGCTGAGGTTTTGAGATATCTTCCTACGATAGAGGTGAAGGGATTTTTGTTTGCGCTGCGCAGAGGGAAAAGCGACATTGTGAAACCGGCACGACAAATGAAAGTTTACAACATCGGAGCTACTTTCTCCTAAGAAATCGTTTGCATCGAGGCAGATATCTCGAAACCTCAGCGGATAAAACCACAACTATGTGCATGGGTGAGCTGAAATCCGGGCGAACTGACCCTTTAATATCCTCCTTTAAACTTCTCAAGGATTTGAAATGAACAGCCACAAAATGACGTTGGCCACCGAGGTGCTGGGGTAACCCGACACCACCAGCAACTGCCACCAAGGAAAGGACAACAGTCAGCACTCTCTGTCTTCTGACCTGGTGTTTTGTGTCTGTGTGTGTGTGTGTGTGTGTGTGTGTGTGTGTGTCCGTGTGTGTCCGTGTGTGTGTGGCTGCGTCTCTACGTCTCAACGCAGTCTCTATCATTTCTGCCATAGCTCGTGGAGAGCCTGTGCGCGCGTGCGTCCTCGCGCGCACAGGCTCTCCACCTGAATGCACAACCCCAGGAGCAGCGTCTACTGCAAGGAGAGCCTGTGTGTGTGTGTGTCTGTGTGTATGTGTGTTTGAAGGATGCATCCTTGATGGAACACATGAGAGACAGAGGCGACGACCTGAGACTGATCCGATAAAAAGACCACCGCAGGAGAGACAGAGAGGGTGAGGAAGAGAAGGGATGAAGGAAGCAATGGAGAGAGGGAAATTGGGAAAATGACACCCGGTGGCTGGCTGGGAAGGAATAAGAAGGGGGAGAAAGATATCAAAGAGCACACAAAGTGCGAGAGGGAAGGGGACAAGAACAAAGAGAGGAGAGAAAGGAAGAAATGACAACTCTGCTATGGAACTGTAGTCTCATTAGACTGCTGATTTAAAACCTTTTTTCACGTACATTTTCCATTTGTGGCGGCATTGAGCAAAAGCTACTGTAGTACTAGCAAGTGCCTTGCTCAAGAGAACTGTGGCTGTTGAGTGTGAAGTATGTTACTGCCATATGTGCCATGTTATCACTACAGATCTGTGAGCACTAAGACGGAGGCCAGAAATAGAATAGGAGATGGGTACAGGGCTCCTGTGCTGTCTTTTGGAACGGCTGAATCTGTATCTAATCAGGTTAAATCTTGGCACAAGTAGCCTCCACCTCTACCATAGGCTTCTAATGCAATTGGATGTGCAGAGGCACTGCTCACAGCAAAGAATTATGGGTTCTCCTTCACTGGTTTTGGCTATCCAGTGGAGGCGTAAAGAACAAACAACACTTTGGTACAATCCCATGAGAACAGTGCTCTCGCTGCTTCACACACACATATTTGCTAACTAGCAGCCTTCTCGCTGTTTCACACATACCTCTAGAAAATCTCACAGTGAAAAGAGCTTTATAATGCTTGGGATCATACAGTGTGATCATTCTGGTACAAAAGATGAAATATTATTTGCAGGGGTTTCTATATGTGTATAATGGCAAACAAGTAATGAAAACTACTTGATTCAATAAGTTTCTAAAACTTGAATTCTCAGTATTTTAAGTATATTTTAAGTTTGCTTGGGCTACATGGTTTAACCCACAAGGGTGTATCCAGTGCAAGCATGACATTGTAGATTCAAGTCTGGCTAACGGACTTTGACTCATTTGTGCCATAAAATCTGAATCTGAACAGTGTTGATATTATTTACATGGATACAATTTATAGCCGTCAATAAAAGGCTGGTATCTCTCTACTAAAAAAATAACAGACTGATTATAATTTAATGTTTAAAGCCGACAGAAAGACATTGATTTTGCTTGCTTTCCGTTCTTAAAAATCCTAACAATCCAATTTTAAATAAGTATGTTACTCTCTGGGCTACACGCCACGTGATTGCTCAGTTGCTATACACCAACTGTAACTATTCTTTTAGGTCATCTCCAAGCACTTCTGGAGTTTTGACAAAACAATCTCAGTCCTCTCATGAGCTATTTTGGAGCTTACAAACACATATTATGATCTTCATCAGCAATTGGAGCTGGTTCTGTCTTCCCAGAGATAGCTTAGTTGTCATTAAGTGACTAATGGAGCTGTTTTGAATGATCACTCAAAAAAGCTGCTTTTTAAAAACATTTACAGGTAGGTTTGAACTTTTTGAACTCTAAAAGCTGGTTTGGGGAGATTTACACATGCATTTCACAATTTGGTTACCATGGACACATGCTAATGTTTAGTGAAAGGTGATCTTTGACTTCTTAAAGCTTAAGTTATACCTTCCACAGCTGCATAGACACATTTGCTCATGTCAGCCTCCACAAAACCTTTGCGTACAGACAAATATGTATGGCCACTTGGACTGTATGACTGGAACATATGCACCAACTGCCTGTGTGAACCCTTCAGCGAGTTCAGTGTCAGTACAGGGAGTAGTGTGCCTTATATGCAGCAAGACAGAAAGTGGGATATAGATGGACATGTAGCACGCCTGACTTTTAAGCAGGGTACCTCACTTTGTGATCTGTCACAGACTAGGAATTCATGTCCTCCTCCACAAGCTTTTTAGTGTTTGACTTTAAAAACAG